GGGGATCATAATAGTTCTAGTCACTCGGAGGATTACATGAATTCACAGCGGTCAGATTCTTAGTACGCAGCCCGATAGATGATATGTGCTCACCAACTACTACCTATTATTCCCCTATACTATGATTGTTCTCAGCAAACTTCTCCTGGGGCAAACTCTTGAAAGGAAATCTCCCTTCGGAGACCACAGAGAGATCTCCGAAGATACATGCCACTGATGTGCTCCCAGGGTCTGTCCTGGAAGTTAAGGGGCTGTGACGTCAGCTTCCAGGCACATACCTCCTCTGAGTCTACCTACTACCTAGGTCTCAGGCCATGGGCATCCTAGTTGGGGAGCTTTCCTTACCAGCTCCCCTCCTGAGCAGATTTTCCTGTGATGTGTTAGGCTCTCAAACAGTGGGGCTACACAGTGCCTCTGACCTCCCTCCTGCACCCTCCACACACCTTCTTGCCCAGCCTCATTTCCAGAGGTTCTAGATTATCTAGGTAGCCAGATCGACTCCATCTTTTTCCTTTTTTTTTTTTTTTAAAGTCTATTTATTTATTTTGAGAGAGAGTGCGAACAGGCGAGTGGCAGGGAGAGGGAGAGAGAGAATCCCAAGCAAGTTCCACAGTCAGCACAGAGCCCGATGTGGGGCTCGAACTCATAAACCATGAGATCATGACCTGAACTGAAATCAAGAGTTGGATGCTTAACCGACTAAGTCACCCAGGCGCCCCATCCATCTTTTCTGATGGAATAGACCAACAAGCCCCTCCCTGGTTCGTTCCCCTCCCTGGTTCTTTTGGTCAGCTCCTTAAATCATCTCCATCCCTGTCACTATAACCTTTTCCTAAAAAGCTCTGGTGGTGTCCTGGCAGTTCTCCCCACAGAGGCAACAGCTACTGAAGGGCCCTTTTTCTGTGGTTGAGTTCAGTAACCTTTGCGGAGGCTCCTTTTTTATATTCAGAGTAGGGTCAAGGCAGTCACCATCCAGCCATAGAAGGCTCCCACTGTCTGCCATTTAAACATGTAAGTGGTTTGGATGGACCTTGAGGGCATTATGTTAAATGAAATAAGAAAAAGACGAATACTGTATAATCACTTACATGTGGAATCTAAAAGAGCAGAAGTCTTAGAGAATAGAGTGGTGGTTACCAGGGGCTGAGGGGGGTGGAAATGGGGAAGTGTTGGTCAAAGGGCAAAAACTTCTAGCCACAGATGAATAAGTTCTGGAGATCTAAGTTATAGATGGTGACTATAGTTAACAATACCCTACTGTATACTTGTAAGTTGCTAAGAGAGTAGATCTTAAATGTTATCACCACCATCACCACAAAATGGTAATTATGTGAGGTGATAGGTGTGTTAACCATCCTTATTGTGGTAAACACTTTGCAATGTGTACGTGCATCAAATCTTCATATTGTACATCTTAAACTTCACAATGTTATATGTCAATTATATCTCAGTAAAGCTGGACAGAGAAGATTTCTCATGTTCTGTTTTAAAGAAACAGTTTCATTGAAGTATAATTCACATACCATCCAATTGACCCATTGAAGGTATACACGAAATGGTTTTGAGTATATTGATTGTGAATCCAAAAGCACAGTAAACTTTAGGACATTTTCACTACCCCTCCCAAACCCTTACTTTTTAGTGTTACCCCGCAATTCTTCCACATCCCCCTCCCAAATCCTAGGAAATGACTAGTCTACTTTTTGTCTCTATAGGTTTGTCTCTTGTGGACATTTTATAGAAATAGAATCTATCACATATGTGGCCTTTGGGGCTGGCTTCTTTCACTCAGCATAATGCATTCAAGGTGCATCCACAGTGACGTCCATACTTCATGCCTGATTGTGGCTGGATGATCTGTTGTAGGAATATTCCACATCTTGGTTATCCATTTGTCAGTTGACGGTCATGTGAGTTGTTCCTTATGTTCTTTGGAACACATCAAAGCCCCACTCTTTGAGACTGCCTTTCAGTTCCCAACCATTTTATCAGGAGGCGAGGCCTTTTTGTTATTTTTATCACAGCCCCAAATTACTCCTTGGTTTCCTTACGAATATAATCCCTGCTCAGATGTTATGTTTTGAATACCCATAATAAAATTAAAGGTTTTAAAGAGAAAGTTTACAAGACGTGCCTGAAGAAACTATTCAGACCATACAGTTTCTCTTTTCTTCTATGTAATTATTTAGGCTCTAATAATTCCGGCAGTTCAGAGGGATGTTCAGACTGGCTGAGGACAAAGAAAGTTTTCCAACCCTAGGGAGAAAAATGTTCGTGAAAACCAAAAATACTTTAGCAGCGGTAGACACCAGGCGAGCATGCTTTCTGTTCGCTGAGAGCCCACTCTGAGTCAGGTGGCTCCAGTGACACCCTTATTTAACCCTGTCCTACTGGGAGCAGATTTCTCCTAGGTGCTGGAACGCCGCTGAGATAATGCCAAGCAGGCCCAGGTGGGACTTGCAAGTTTTGCAAATTTCTCTGAAGGTTTGTGACTTTTTAAGCTTTGCTAGTGTTGAGTGTGCAAATGAGATCACACGGGGGTATAAGTGGCATTCCGTGAGTTAAATCGCGGTCCCCAGCGCCAGGATGCCAGGCACTAGAATTGTTCAGCTTTGAATCTGAAAGTGCCCAGGGGTGGGAGCCTCCTGTGTGTTGGTGCTGAGCAAAGATTCACCAGGATTTGCGTTACTGGGATTTCCGGTGCTGAATGGGGACATTGTGTGTCCCTCCCTTAGATACCTGCCCAGAGGGATTCCTGCTCAAAAATCTCAGTGGCATAGTAAATATGCCCTCCCCTCCTGACTGCTAGATAAATTCACTTCTGGGATTTGATGATCTGTCTAAGGAAGAAAACTGCAAATCAGAATGCTGTGATGTAACAAGAGGGAAGGCAAGAACATAATTACAAACCCAACAATGATTGCAAAAGGAACATCAGCATTTAATTAAATTTTGTCTCTATGGTATATTTGGAAGTTGCTAAGAGAGTAGGTCCTAAAAGCCCTCATCACAAGAAAAAATTTTTTAATTTTTTTAAATGTTTGTTTTTGAGAGAAAGAGGGCATGAGTGAAAGAGGGGCAGAGAGAGAGAGAGAGAGAGAGAGAGAGAGAGAGAGAGAGAGAGGAGACACAGAATCTGAAGCAGGGACCAGGCTCTGAGCTGTCAGCACAAAGCCCAACATGGGGCTCGAACCCACAAACTGTGAGATCATGACCTAAGCCGAAGTCAGGTGTTTAACTGACTGAGCCACCCAGGCACCCCAGAAAAAAAAAATTTAAACTGTGTGGTAATGTTAATTAGACTTATGGTGGTGGTCCTTTAACAATATATGCAAATGTCAAGTCATTACTGGTACATCTGAAACTAACAATATTACATGTCAATTACATCTCCATTTTGAAAATTTCACCTCTGGGAGCATCGGGATGGCTCAGTCAGTTAAGCGTCCACCTCTTTGATGAATTTTATCGCTTGGGTTGATCTCAAGGTTCATGAGGTGGGCCTTGCGATAGGTAAAATACTGAGTGTGGGCCTGCTTGGTGATTATACTTCCCTCTCTCTCTCTGCCCCTCCCCTGCTCATGCTGTCTCTCTCTCTTTCTCTCTCTCTCTCTAAATGAATAAATAAAACTTAAAAAAAATGAAAATTTTACCTCTACTAAGGGATTCTTTGATTCTCTCCACTCAAATTATTGTGGAAATGTGAAAAAGCTTAGGCTTCAGAATGAGTAGATCTTGGTGGTTCTTGGGCAGATGAGTCCCCATCTCTGAGCTTGTGTCATAAGATGACACGTTCCACCCTGCAGGAGGGTGAGTGTGAAAGCAGATAAGAGCTTGTGTGCAACACCCAGTACACAGTAGGTGCTCACTAGGAGCTACTACTTCTAAAGTACTTCTCCCCAAAATTATATATATATATATATATATTTTACTCTCACTCGTACCGAAATTTTAGGAGGAACAGTTTGTAAGGAACCACTCTGAATCTTTTTCCCACAGGATGGCGCTGCTGACTCTTTGTGCTTGAGGGAAGACCATCTTTGTCTCCTGGAGCACCTTGGACCCCACAGACATTTGATAGATATTTGCTGATGTTCCAATTTAATAAACCTCAAGAACGGTATAAAGCCTTTCGTATGAGGTCCCTTCTCCCAAAGGGATGTGAAAACTTTTGCAGTGATTATTGGTTTTCATTTACATCTTAATGTGTGAGGGCTGGAGCCATAAACTGAAGAACCGGAAGTAGATACTAGCAACTGGAAATTCTGTGGGAGTGATGTAAATATCAAAGTAGACACTTTGTTTTTCCTCCAGTGGCTTTCTTGGCAGAAAATTAGAAAGGAAAAAATGGCTACATGATTTAAGAAAACATTGTGGTGTTTGGTGATAATAGCTTACATCTCTGTAATGCTTTCCAGCTTGCAGAATTCTTTCCTATTATTATTTCATTGAATTCTCGTAAGTGAATTACCTCCCAGAGGTGGGTAAGACAATACTGCATCACGGTTGAGGAAATGCTGCTTCTACCACTTACCTACCGTGTGGTTTATGTGGGTTATTTAAGCACTGCAAGCTTATTTCCTGAAGTTTTAAAACGAGAGTTTAATAATTTAGTTTTTAGTTAATCATACCTTCCTTTTAGGATCGCTGTACAGGTTATAGGAGACGATGCGTGGACACTGCCAGCCCCCTAGTAAGTGCTGAATAAATGGTGACTTATGACATTAGGTGTGATAGTCCTTCACAGATGAGGAAACTAAAAATTTAGACAGCCAGTTTGCTAAAGATCACACCATCAGTAGTCAGAACAGGAAGCAAATCGCAAATCCAGTTCTGCGGCCTCCAACTTGAGTCCTCTTTCCACTACACCTTAGCCAAGAAGCGTGAACCAGGAGGAATATTATAGTGCTTCTGCCGGCAAAACTCCCCGTGACCACGTACGTCGTACTCCGTATCTCTGGTGCATTGATCTTTTTCAATGTCTCCTTTTGTATTCACAGAACATCATCAAAAAGGTGATTGGGCAGAAGTTTGTGTACAAGTTTGTCTCTTTCCCGGAGATACTGAAAATGGACCCTCACGCGGTGGAGATCAGCCGGGAGAGCCTTCTGCTGCAGGACAGCGACTGCAAGGCGCCTCCCGAGGGCCGCGAGGCACACAGACACGGCTTGTCAGCCCTCAAAAGCGCAAGCCGCAACGAATACATCCACTCAGGCCTGTACTCGTCCTTCACCATTAATTCCCTGCAGAACCCACCAGAATCCTTCAAGGCAATCAAGACAGAGAAGCTGGAGGAGCAGCCAGAAGACAGCCCTCCCGTGGAAGAAGTCAGGACTGTCATCAGGTTTGTGACCAATAAAACCGACAAGCACACCAGCAGGCCCGTGGTGCCCCTGCCCTCCACCTCTGAGGCCTTCCTGGCCTCGTCCGCCTCAGCCAAGGTCTCCTCTTTAATGTTGCCAAATGCCGCCAGCATTTCGTCCGCTTCACCCTCCTCGTCTCGGTCCCCGTCCCTGTCCCCCAGCTCGCCCCTCCCTTCTGAACACAGAAGCCTCTTCCTGGAGGCCGCCTGCCATGACTCCGATTCCCTAGAGCCCTTGAACCTGTCATCGGGCTCCAAGACCAGGTCTCCATCTCTTCCCCCAAAGGCCAAAAAACCCAAAGGCTTGGAAATCTCTGCGCCCCCGCTGGTGCTCTCTGGCACTGACATCGGCTCCATCGCCCTCAACAGCCCAGCTCTCCCCTCGGGATCCCTCACCCCAGCCTTCTTCACCGCACAGGTAAGAGCCATCCCTGTCATCCGGGCTGCACGCCAGACTCAGTGGCATGGCAGAAAGGAAGAAAGAGCAACCAAAGCAACTTCCTTCTGCCCTTCGAAAGATCACCTTAGGGCCCGTAGACCAAAGTCACGGTGTAGATGTGAAGGGAAGTTACTTTTCATCCCCAGACCAAGGTGTTCAAAGAGAAAAGGTTTGGGATATCGACTGCAGTGTGACACTCGATTGGTTTCTTGCTGTAAGTGGCTGAAAGTGATCATAATATGGAGCATGTGCCCTGGCCATCAAAGGAGATCCAAACAGTCATTTCCTAGGGAAAGTTAAGCAGGCCGAGTGACGTTTCAGAAGGCGTTTGGGCTTTGTGAAATTTGTATGACAGAGTCCTCTCTCGGGGCACCTGACAAAGTAGCTGTTTGTTTTCCGTTAATGAGAAGATAGATGTAAACCGATACCGCCACTGCAGTCATCAGGGTGGATGTGCCTTGTCCTGTATTCTCTGACAAGAAATGTAAGGGCCACACCCAGTGGTGAGAAAGAGATTCTTCAATAAAAGCAGTGCTCCTCTGACAAAACCCAGTTTCGCGGGTCCACATCACGAGGGGGAGGAAAGCAAACTTGTGGAGTAAGAAAGTCTTCAGTGTTATTAACTCCCATGAGAAGGCAGCCTTTTCCGCTAAGGTGCTGGTTGTTTTGTTTTGTGTTTTGTTTTGTTTTGTTTTTTAAGTAATCTCTACGCCTGACGTAGAGCTCGAACTCACGACCTTGAGACCAAGAGTCACATGCTTTACCAACTGAGCCAGCCAGGCGCCCCCGGACTTTTCCTTTAAATACGATACACAGATGCCCTGTCTTGTCCAGCTGGCAGTTGTAGGGCAAAGGCAGAGCAGGTGCTGGTAAACCCCATCTCTGCTTCCTCTGGAAAGTGGGGCACACTTTGGTGGCCGAGGTTAGACATATTGGCTTTGGGGTCACAGGCCGGATTCCGTTCCTGGCTACGCTGCTTGGTGGCAGTGTGACGGTGGGCGCTCGCTCCCTGAGCCTGTTTGCACATCTGTGAAATGGGTTGTTGTGCGGGTCGAACGGGAAAATGGGCACGCTAAGAGAGCTAGCTACAGCTGGCAGGTACGATCCTGGAACTCGCAGGCAGGTGGGGGCGCCATCTCTGGCCTCTGCACTCGTTGCCCTAGACGTCCTTGCTGTAACCGTCACGGGGGGAGGCAGCGCCATGGATTTTCATGTCTGCCAGCTACTGTTCTAAACGCTGGCCACGCACCACTTCAGTTCTTCTGCACGGCAGGCCCGTGAAGTAGTTGCCGTTAGGTCCCGTTTTTCCAGCTGAGGTAAATGAGGCACGTGAAGTCAAGTAACTCATCCAAGGTCACGGTAACAGGTGGGAGAAGCAAATGTGAACCCTGTCAGTCTGCTCCAGAATCCATCCTCTTCGGTAAAATGTTCTTGGCATGCCCTCTGGGAAAACACCCAGTTGTCCCTGATCATAACAGTCTGTGGAGTCTGCCAAAGCCACTGAAAGCCACTCTTGGCCATTTTCCTCTCCATGGCTTCTCCCAAATTGATTGTGTCACCGGGATTTTGTGTCTGCTCAAGCTTGTGAGCCGGTCAGAATGAGCATGCTGCCCTTGTGCAGAGGGAGGGCGCAGGGCTCAGCTACTGGTCAGAATGAGCACGTGTGCTTTCAATCAGGCGTCTTCTAATCAAACACAACTGTCCAGGGGCCGAGAACTGCTGAGTAAAATGGCTCAGAAACCGGTTCCTGGAGTAGCTCCAAGAAGTAACTGCCAGGGTGGACAATCTGAGGATGATCTCCCCTGGCCTCCTTTGTGTTTACAACTGTAAGGTTTAGAGAGGTCTTGAGCAAGGCCAAGGCCAACTCTGATTTCCGTATCTGCTTTCTCTGTGAGCCTGGGTCACCGTCTCTGAACAGATGCCAGTCCCGTAGCTGTCTCAGGAACGCAGCTCAGGCTAGCCCTGTGGTTTTGGACTGGACACGGTGGGTCTAGGTGGCTCTGCTCAGTGGGACTGAGGACGGATGGTAGGGCTGGGCCGAGGAGAGGAGGAACCTTGACATGAGAAGGGATAGAGTGTGGACATGAACAAGTGAAGGCTAAACTCGGGACTGGGAGACACGACCCACTAGAACAGCCTAAAACCAGGGAGGGGAAACCAGAGGAAAGCAAGATGCTTTCATAAACCACTTGTGCCTTGGGCAGATGAGAGTGAGTGGTCCTCAGCCAAGCGGCGAGGGTAGGATGTTGATTGTGAGTTGGCGTCAGGAAGCCCAAGAAATGGGATCGGGGCTTCCAAAGGGAGAGAGGCCAAGGGCAGGGTCTGGCCTCGGGCTGAGAGTGCCTCTGGACCAAGCCGAGGGGTCAGGGGGTGGCCACTGGGTAGTGCTCTGAATGGATTCAGAGGAGTTAAGGGTTGCCTTTGGGGGATGGTGGAATCTCAGGACTTGAATTCCCTCCCCTTCCAGCAGCGTCAGTTCTGCACCCAGTGCAGCCAACGGTGGCTGACAGGGAGGAAGAAACCGGAGGGAGGCCAGAGCAAGGGCAGGACCCGGGTCAGGTGTTCATCCAAGTGGTTTCTCCGAGATCGGACAGGACGGTCACACCTGTCTCGGCTTGACAGTCCTCCAGGTGTTTAGGGCAGGCTTGGAGTCAGTGTAGGATTTGGATTCTCAGAGATTCCCTCCCCCAGGAACTGCTTTGGGTGCCTCAGAAACTAACCCTGGAGCCACGGTTCTCCCTCAGTGCACAGTCAGAGGCAAGGTCAGCTCTCTCAGCGGCTGGCCTCATCCTGAGGGGTGAGCCCATTTCCCAGAAATCCTCCCAGGGGGTGGGAGTGAAAACCTTCCCTTTGCTTCCAGGTCAACTCCAGGGGTTTCCTCGCCTGAAGGAGACTTGGGCCTTTGCCCCCACAGGCAGCAGTGATGTCTCATTCCTGCAGCTCATTGGTTTCCCTCCTACCTTCGCACTTTCTATCACGGAAATCACTTTCCTCTGTGGACTGTGCTGTGTGCAGCGACACCTTTGTACGTAAACACTGTTACCAGTGGGAACCTCCTATCAACCTTTCTTAACCCTTGTCTTTAGAAGAAATGAAAGGTGTGCTGTAATAACTTGATACCCTGAAAACGAAATTCCCAAGAATTTAGTTTATTTATTTTTTACTCATCCCAAGAATAATTCCCAGTTACTTTCAGCCAGAAATATGGCAGGAAGAATGGTAGGATTAAGAGCATCTTGGCATGAGGAGGGTCATGTGGTTACAGTTCCCTCCGGAGGTCGTCTTCAATCACCTACCTTGCACAGGCCCAAATTCAGATTTGAAATGTCACTTAGGGTACGACGCGCATGAAAAAATGTGTATTATGCCCCAAACCATAGCCTCCGTGCCCTTCCGAACTATGTGTGGCGCATCCGCTAGAACCCGTACTGCCCAGTCGTGGTTACTCTTGGGAACCAAGATTATGAATATAGACGGACGTGATGATCACCCAAACACCCCTCAAGGGTGGATATGAGGAACTGAGGACAGAGCGTACAAAAGCCAGCTGCGTACCCAGCAGTGATGTAGTTGGAGCTCAGCCACTGAGGTCACACTGGACTGTTAGTAGAAGAGCAAGGATGTTCTCTCTCATGGCATGAACTACAGAAGTTGAGATGAGGGAGGAGCCAAGATATGAAACCCTCTTGGTTCCTAGCCAGGCGCCATAGAGACCGGAAGAGTGCCAGCTGGCTGGTTCCGTGCGTCCTCTGCACCGTGATATTGTCTGTCACTCTTCCTTCCATTTGTCTCTTCTGTTCGGTGTCTCCCTCCTCACCTGTTCTCAATGTGCAGTTAGTTCAGAACCGGAGGCTGCCACGTTGCTTTTCCCTTTATTTATGCCAAGGCCTCTGTTAATCTCACGTGTGATGTTTAAGATGCTGAACTCAGATATGCGCGGGCATCGGGGCATGAACTCCTCGTCAGAGTCTGAGCATGCATGCCCCAGGCTGTTTTATTAGCAGTGGCCTTGATTGGCATTAATTGAGTGGAGAGAACCTGCAGAGGACTGAAATGTGAAAACCTCCTTTCTTCACGTGCTGGTGGAGGTAACAGCTTTGGGCCAAAATCATGAGGTGGGAATTTGGAGTAAAATGGATGCGTCTGATGAGGAGCACTGAGGATATATTGCCTCGTGTCCCAGCTCTGCACTGGTTTCTCATCCTACTGTCTCCTTTGCCATTATCACAAAAGCAAAAACGATTTTCCCCTTCATACCACTCTCCACAACACTTTTCCAGCTTAGCCTAAAGCTTTCTCTATACTGACCCTATAGGGGACAGGTGGTCCTTCTAGAAGCTCTCGGCAGTGGAAGATGTTGCTGGTAGAGTTTTGCGTGACTTGACACTCCAGCTGAAGGCTCTTCCTTCCCTGGGCTCTGGGCTGCCCAGGATAAACAAATTGTGATAATGCCCTCCCTCACTCCACCTCCAGGCCTGTCTCATCTCCCTCCTTTGTCTTCTTGGTTCCACTGCCTCCTCCCCAATTCTGCTCTTAACTCCTTTCCCCCTCCTGCCACTTGCTACACCTCCTGTAGACTCGCATGGAGTTCTGTTGGAACTCTCATGGAACCCTTTCTTTAAGATCAGCACATTGAGTGCTACACAAACTTTTGTGTGATTTAACTTCTCTCTTAAAGTCTTTAAAATCGTTGTTTTTACTTGAGTTTGGGCAACTCCAGGAGTCTTCCAGAAATAGTTGACATTTATTTGAGGATTCGTTTTTAACCCCAGAATGGCATTGTCATGGATTCTGAGAGACTAAGATTTGTGATGTTTGTTGGTACAACAGAATGTTAAGCGGACATCCTGATCTCCTCTCCTTTATTTTCTAGAGCCCCAAAGACTTACCAGTATCTCATATTCCCAAGTCAAATAAGCCACATATACTTGTTGTTGAGCGGCTCATGCACATCCTATTTGGTCAGTAATGAACAGTTACTATGTTAATTAATTCATCTAGGAGATAACTGTTCAACACCTACTCTTTGCTAGTGATTGAGGTATACAGAGGTGAACGAGATAGACCGTTCCTGCTCTCATGAGCTTGCTGTCCAATAGGTAAAGAATATGGGGTAATATAACTTAGGGTGATGTGAAATTATAGGGGACGCTGAAAACTGGATGAGGAATTCAGACTCGTTTTGATAAGAAATTAACAGCTTGCTGGGATTTTTAAAGAGAAACAAGTTCCCTTTAGAATCTATCAACAAATAATTATTGAGCATTATTTGCGAATCACTGAAAGGATACCAGGAGTATGTACAGTGCCTATTTTTATGACCTTAGGACCTAGCCAAAACAAGGCACACACATGCACACACACACACACACGGCATGTGGCAAGGGTCAAATACACAGTGCAGAGAAGCACCATAGGAACAGAAGAGGGGAAAGATCATTCAGTCCAATTCAACATATAGGAAGTGAGCACCTATTACATGTAAGATGCAGTGCTTGGAGCTGGGGATACAAACATGAATTAGTCCCTGATCATTAGGAGCTTATAACTTGCCTTAAATTCTTTGATACACTACCCCAGATCAGTACAGAAGAAATATTAAGAAGGTATTAATTTTGCTGGGGATGGGGAAGGGTGTTGACAGGGCTTCCTGGAAGGCATGAGCACACTTGGGCAGGGTAGCGACCATCTGGCACATAAGGTGAAGGGGGCATTGTAGGCAGAAGAACAGCTTGAACCAAGCCATAAAGATATGAAACAGCTTAGTGAATGAGGGGCAGTACAGTGGTTCAGTAGGGAGTGGGGACAAATTGCAAAGGTGAAGCCCGTGGTTGGGAGATGGGGCATGAGTGACATAGTTGTGTTTTAGAACTCATCTTGATGACGTGGATTGGGGAGGGGTGAAGCCGGAACCAGTTAGGATACTATTATAATATTCCAGATGAAAGACAAGGGGGATCTAAGGCTGTGACAGTTGGGTGGGGCTAAAGGGGACAGATGTCAGAGAGACATAGGGAATGCCATCCACAGGTGTGAAGGTGGTAGGGGAGCGCCAGAAGTTGAGTATGAGGAGCATGGGATAGGAATAAGCTCGTGGTGAAAGGTTACATGTCCATTTTGGGCCATCGAGAGTGTGAGGAGCCTGTATGACGTAGAACATCCAGTTCCAGCTGGAGCTAAGGAGTTTGGGACTGAAGATAAAGTTAGGGAGTCACCAACATGTAAGGGGTGCTTAAAATCATGGGAACAGGGTACCCCAGGGAAATAAGGTCTGGGTGGTCAGGGAAGGTTCTGGAACAAGTGCTAAAGGACTGGTAGGCTGGAATTCTATAGTGTTCAGGACACATGAAGCAAAGTAGGAGGGTTCATATAAGGAAATTAGGGAGCATATTAAACCAGGTCATGGGGCAACCTAGAATTGTGGCTAACAAATTTTTCCCCCTGAAACAATGAATTTCAAAGGAAGATAGTATGTTAGGGTGAATGATTTGGTAGTGGTGCTCAGAATAGATTGGAAGAGGGGCACCTGGGTGGCTCAGCTGGGTAAGTGTCCCACTCTTGGTTTTGGCTCAGGTCATGATCTCAAGGAGCCCTACATCGGGCTCTGTGCTGACAATGCAGAGCCTGCTTGGGATTCTCTCTCTGCCCCTCCCCTGCTTTCTATCTCTCTCTCAAATACACTTAATAAAATAAAATGAAGACTAGATTGGAAGAGAGGCCAGAGGTGGACTGGTTTAGGTGGCATTTATTGAATGCCATTTAGTAAGGTGATAGGTCTTGAATGCAGCAGAAATGGAAATGGGGGCAATAAATAAGAGTCACTTCAAGGAAGGATCCACAGGCCGTGCCCAGAGGTTGTAGCAAGTGGGAGGCATTTTGCATCTCAGTGACTAGGATGCTGGGTTGTAGACAGGGCTGTAAGTCCGGGGATCGTGTCTTGTCCTATCATTGTATCCTTGGCACCTGATACATACCATGTGCTCAGTATTTCTTGAGTGGATAGATCAGTGGTGGTATTGATAGACACGGGGAGTCCTAAGAAACACTAGGTTTGGAAAGAAGGTGAGGAAGGCCGGTTTGAACAGGCAGGGCATTCCAAGTTGACACGTCCAACAGGTGACAGATATGTGAGGGGATGCACCTGGAGTTACAGATCACTTCAGCTCATCAAGTATTTAGAAACTGGGTACCACAGGAGGAATAAAGATGAGCAAGATGCCTTAAATGCTATAGAAAGAGGCATAATAAGAATATGCAAATTAACATAATGAGGTAGAAAATGTTAAGGAAAAAGTGGTTATAGAGTGTTATACAGATTCAGGAAAAAGAGGAAACATTGAGGGAAAAGCAGAAAAGTCTCCTTTGAAGGGGCGGTGTTTTGATGGGCAGAGGGAAGCAGGGGTAGGGTAGAGGAGGAGGTCTGAGGGCACGGTCCAGGCAGAGGGCCTTGAACCAGGGAACTCAAATGGGGTATGTCTGGGCAATGCCAGCTCACCAGGTTTAGTTCAAATGTGCAGGCTTTTTAGGAGACCCTGTATTATGCAGAAGAAGAACTGCGTTGGGGTGGGGGAGATGAAAACGAGATCCCGATAGGAAGGTCTTTCCCCTTGAACATCAATACCCTTTGCCTTGGGTCCTCGGGCCTCTCCTTCCCTACAGCTGATGGGATCAAGAACTCCCTGTCTGCCATCCCGAAGGGCCCATTTACTAAAATATCCTTTGGTGAAGGAAGAGGAAGCATGCATTTTGCCTGTGGCTTCTTTCTTTAGCCTCTAGCCCTCGGGCCCAGCACATACCACCTTGCCTGACTCCAAGAGCTTGTGGAAAGAGGCTCTGAAAACTCACTGTACTGGAGATTAGCCAGGGTGAACGTTAAGAGGGCCGTCCCTTGAAAGAGCAACCCAAATAGTTTTTTCTTTATAGCCAGAAGATCTTCAGGGAGAACGGGGATGGGAGGGAGAAGAGTGAAGTCATTTCAAAAATATTTATTTGCATATATTAATAGAAGATATTTCAGACATGCGAAATAGATGGCTGCTGTATTCTGAGTACATCCTGCATCCCTGAGAAACAAGTGTGCACACATTTTAGACTAAAATACAAATTCTACACTTCATGTATTGCTCAAAAGATCACAAAGGAGTGGATGTATACTTATGGCCATGAATAAGAGAAAGCTAGCTAGCTGGGTTTTGTAATCCAGGCTTATTGTCTCTTTCGAGCTTGGGGAGCTTCATTGGTAAGTAAGCTAGGAGGCCCTGAACACACTGTTAATGTGGCATATTGTGGTTGGAATTTGGTTCCAGTGCAACGTTGCAACTATTAGTTCTCCGATCACTTGAGCTTGTGCACTTGAGCCTAATATGGCCGAGAGGAGCCTTGAAGGTACCGGCAGGTGCCTGGTTTCAGGACATTGAGTACGGTTATATATACATTGAGAATTTCTCCCATGAACAGATGAAATTCATAGAATACGTGAGGTTCACTTTTTATGAACACTTCTTGAGCGTTTGCTGTGTGCCAGGCACATGTATAGAGTTTTACATAGACCATCTTATTTCATCTTCCTAGCAATCCTGTAATGTAGGCATTTTTTTCCTCCCCATTTTACAGATGAGGAGACCAAGGCATAGAGAGATGACTTTAGTAGTAAGTAGTGGTTCTGAGGTTGGAACACTGGCAGAGCCCATGTGAAAAAAGTCTTAATCGTCAGACCAGATGGCCTGGTGCATTTGTGAAACGGCCTTGCATTAGAACTGGGAAGCACCTCCAGAACATGTATTTATCCTAATAACCTCACTGGTCATTCCACGTGTAGGCAATGCTGTGGAATCAAAGATTCAAATGACTTGGTATAAATTAGTTCACCTTTCAGTAGCTTCACAGTTTGAGAACCTTTGGAGGTTTGTCTCCTTTCTGCTGAACACAGCAGACCTTTCAACTTAGGTTTATGCCAAATGTTCCCGATAATTAACAAAGCTGCTGAAGCCAATTCTAGGAAAAAATAACACTCTAGCATCCAACATGATGCAATGTGCACACTGGAGCCTTTGCTGTGGTTCTCATTACACAAAGCACCTTACTGACATCATAAAACCGCGGAGGGGCTCCTTCTAGTCACCAAAGGTGCAAAACCACCCTGGGCCAGGAGGTTGCCTCAGCTGAGAACAAAAGCCATGCAGACTTACCAGCTGGGCGAGTTGTTTCTTCTGCCCTCTAGCTGGCTTGCAGGCCAGGACTCCTGCTGTGTGTGTGCGAGCAGATGCAGTCCTTGGCACTCCCCTGGGAAACCCAGAGTTTTGGCTTTACACCCAGTCTAACAAGAAAGAATTTTTCCCCCTCCAAACCATTGCCAGGGAGATGAATTCTCATCAGCCCCACATCCGGAGTGGAATTTGAAAAACCTAGTTCAGAACTTTTGAGGAAGCTGCTACAGGGTATTTTAATAGCAAATCCTAAAATCTGAAAGGGCTGCTGCTTTCTGGGAAAGTGAAGCTCGAGCGGCCCTTTAAAAAGTGTGTGTGTGTGTGTGTGTGTGTGTGTGTAACCCAAGTAATGGATGTCCATTGTAGGAAAATAAGAGATAAAAATATAGCCCCTTCATGGAGTCCTATTCTGTACACTAAATCTTGTTTAATGGGGGAAGGGAGGCAAATTGAAGAGACCACCTGGACAAAAGTTGCTATAAACTTGTTTTACAACTAGAATGTTTAGGGGAGGTAACTTGTCCATACTTTTCTCCTTTATAAAATTGCTAATACAGTTAGCATTGAAGAAAATTAAACTGCACAGCCTTGCAGAAATAACATGGTTTCCAGATTTTCCTAAGATGGTGAGGCTTGTTTCTTGGTTCAAGGCTAGTGTACCTAGCCTCAATGCTGATCACGGCTAGAGTCAGCTGATACCTTTATCAAAATCTGTGTGCTTTTTTCCCAGACACCAAATGGATTGCTTCTGACCCCGAGTCCACTGCTATCCAGCATACATTTCTGGAGCAGCCTTAGTCCAGTTGCTCCTCTGAGTCCTGCCCGGTTGCAAGGGCCAAACACGCTGTTCCAGGTGAGCATTTAGAAATGAACTTGTACACACTAAACTTCTAAGGGATGTGTTTCCCCAGTAAATCCTGCATAGGTTACAGACCACCACCCTCCATGGTTAAAATGTGAAGTTTCCAAAGGGAGATGATGGGGCTGTAAAAGCCAGCCTTCAAAGGCAGACATTTTCACTGAGGCAGAAATAGCGTATTTGTGTCAGATATCCACAAATGGAACAATTAATTCTTGAAGTATTTGGATATCTTCACTGCCTATAAGAACTGGAAATTTATTCAGGAAAAGGGACAACTTTAAAACGATTTTATAGTAGCTCATACCTTAAAAAATTAATCAACATATTGACATTACTTGAAATAAACTGAAAAACAAAAATAAGAATTTCCATACTGTAATAGAAAAGTGATCTGTAGAATTCTGTGAATCGTCCTCAAGTTCTCCCTGTTCCATAAGAAAGGAACATCCAGGGCATTTGGTTAAAAACAATCTTAGCTGCTTTATCTTGCACAAGTCCTGTTACTAGGTAGACACGTTTATTATTCATTCACACACTGCAATTATGCAGTAGCATTGCCTGCTATCGTGTGGTAATCAGTATTTCCTCTTTGAAAGACTCAAAGACTGTTTCTCACAGACCAAGATGTTATTACTAAGAGAATAGAATCCTAGGGATAGGAGCGAAGCAAAGCTGGGGGAAGTGAAAACACCCTCTCTCTAGCCTGTTGATCTCATCCACCCTAAATCCCATGCCTGCCCCCCCCCCCCCCGAGTGGCTCACCCAAGATAGTTGTAGTTCTTTTCTCCCCTTGCACCTAGCACTGACCACTCTGTATTTATGATTGCCTGTTTGCCTGGCAATCTCCACTAGACTGTGGGCCCTCAGGAGGCTGGAACTGCATCGTGTTTCTTGTTTACTGCGGTGTGCCCCCTGTGTCGGGCACATCTCTGGGCACACAAATGATGCTTAGTAATTATCACTGACTGACTAAATGAATGGATGTCTAAGAATTCACCAAGAAACTGGAGCACCTGATGGCTCAGTCTGTAGAGCATGTGGCTCTTGATCTCACAGTCGTGAGTTGGAGCCCCATGTTCAATGTAGAGATTATTTTAAAAAGAAAAGAATAAGAATTGTCTAAGAATGTTGTTAAAAAGATCAGGTCTCCATGCTTTTCTGAGTGGGTCATTTTGCTTGTCAAAGTTAATATTTACCTTCTCTGTGCCAGGGGCTATACATGCTGGGATTTAGGGTCTTGGAAGAAAGGTAGAGCTAAAGAGGTTTTGATTGCTATCTTGCTTCTCTAGTTTCCTAGGAAGGTTGAGGTAGGGACTGTATATCCCTAGAGTAATCAAGTTTCTCTTCAGGCCTGTCTTCTCATCACAAGAAATTGAGCTATGGCCATACACGGCCAACATGTTGATTCTTATCCATCTGAACTCAGGCAGGGAAACAAAAACTAGAAGCAGTGAGCAAAAAAGCAGTGAGCAAGCGAAGTACCGGCAAAGTTTCAGATTAGTAATCTTTTGGTAGAGTTAAAAGACCTTACTTCCTGGTATTCAGGTTGGAGCAGCGGTCTTCTAGTATTCGAGTTCCTGATTAGAGCACAAGTTGTTTGGAGCATGTGTAAGGTGAGCTCTGTGGGCCTGGGGACTGAAGTCCTACTCCAGTCCTACATCTAACAAGGCCTCCGTAGGGTTCACTAGATGTTTGTGAATAACGAATGGAATCTCTCTTCCTTCCTTACTGGGAATTCTGCCACCTGACTGGTACCGGGCTTAGTGATCTCCTAAGGAATCCATGGAAAACTGTTATTTGGGAGTTCTTTAGGATCCCTTGCCTTAGAATCTAAACCTTTTCCAGCCCATCACTCCTAACAGTGACAACTGTCCATGTCCGTAGTGTTTCTACACACTGTCAAGATAATAGGAACTCTGGGTGGATATACATATCCTCTTCTCTTCGGTCATGGAGAAACCAGTAGCTCTCAAAGTTAGTGTGCAACAGAATCAGCTTAAATGGGGTGTTAAAAACTTGTTGGGCCCCAACCCAAGAGTTTCTGATTCAGAACATCTCGGTTGGGGCCTGAAAATAACATCTTTCCGAGATCGCAGTGATGCTGCTGCTCTAGGAATCCACTTTGAGAACCACAGCAGACCAGTGGTTCCTAATTTACAATTAGAATTCTGCAGAAGAAACTGCTGCATTTAAAGACCACCTGCTTCAAAATTTTCATTTCACAAAATGTACCTCTCCTCTCACCAGAGCCATTCAAAACAAAACTACAACCCAAACTACAAACACAAGGTCAGGATGAGGAATATAATCATTTTTAGATGGCTGGCAGGGCCTTGTGCCCTTGGTCATTAGGGTCCATAAAACTAAGGAAAAACAACTTTGTGCCCTTTAAAATATTATCACTCTTCCTATGATAAGAGCAGTTGTGATAGAAGTTGGAACCAGCAGTTTTTAAAACAGTAAGTAAAACGTAAGAATATTCGAAATTCAGATTATCAACAGTGCTCCTTTCAAACTATTAATTTTCTTTAAAAATAACAAACTTTTCACATATACTGTAAATGTGTTGGAGGAATAAAAGAAATACACTTGGGCTACAGTAAGCTTTAAATGATGCTGGCAAGTTTCCCGTTGTGATAATTAGAAAAGTAAGTCAGAATCCTTAGGGTAACAGTTGACAGAGTGGAAGAGTTTTTGCACAGAAGGTCCACTGGTATAATTATTGTGGCAAGTTATAGCAGATACTGAAGAATTTAAAGGAAGGGGAGAGAAGATACTAATTTTTCTGGAAGAGGTATATTTAAAAATAAAGTGATTCTGGTCTGAACAGTTTGGTATTTGGAACTTTTATCTATAGGATGTCTGTTCCACTTTCAAAACGGACTGATCAAATTTGGAATAGGTACAGTTAATATCTCAAAACAAGGCAGGGCTAATTAAGGTTTTCAATTAAGAAGGTTTTCTGTAATTTTTAATTCAACAGATCTAACCGAGAAGAGATTTGCAGTGCTGTGTTATCAGGGATTGTAGAGGATATACAATATGGTTTATAGATATATAAACAAAACGTTGTAGGAACCCAACAGGGACTAATTTTCTAGCTGGGGACTAGATGGAGGCTCCAGGAAACAAGTGGCACCTGAGCTGGGAAGAAAGGACAGGATTTTGGGTGAGAGAAAAGCACCTTCTAGATAATTTGCATGATTTGACTATGCAGGTACACCGTCTGTTCAGGAAGGGACTGGGTGACTGGAAAAGCAGCTGTGGGCCTTGAATAGTATGCTCAGAGTTTTCCACCTTAATCTCTTAAGTAACCATGGGGGGCTTTCTTAGCTGGAGATAGTATAATAAAAATCTCTATTTTAAATATTTCTTATAGTTTATTTTGAGAGAACGAGCACGAGTGGGGGAGGGGCAGAGAGAGAGGAAGAGAGCAAGAATCCCAAGCAGGCTCCACGCTGTCAGCATGGAACCCGATGTGGGGCTCGAACTCATGAACCATGAGATCATGACCCGAACCAAAGTCAGACACTTAACTGACTGAGCCACCTAGGTGCCCCTATATAATCTCTATTTTAGAAACATATTGCTGACAGCATGTGGAGAAAGGATTGAAGAGGGGGAAGGAAGAGATGAGAAAAATTTGTATTACCTCAAACACTGATGGGAAAATCATTTTTTAGATTATAGTGGAAATGGGAATATATTTAGAAGACATTCCAGAGGTAAAATTGAGAGGAAGACTTTTTTGGGTTTCAGGAGTAAGAAGTAGTGAAATTTAGGAAGAGACAAAGATTACTTTTGTATAAGAAGCTCACATTTTTTGAGGGCTACTGTATGTTAGACATTGTTTAGAGTGCTTTTCGTGGCTTGTCATTTAATACAGTTGACCCTTGAACAATGTGGGGTTTAGGGGTGCTCACTCCCCCCTTGCAGTTGAAAATCCATGTATAACTTCTTACTGTTCAAAAATATTAGCCTAATGTTGACCAGAAACCTTTCTGATAACAGCTGACACATACTTTGCATGTTCCATGTATTATATGCTGTATGTATTCTTATAAAAAGTAAGCTAGGGAAAAGAAAATTGTAAGGAAAAGACATTTACAGTATTATGCTGTTTGTTGAAAAAGTTTGCAAACCTGTGTTGTTCAAGAGTCAACTGTACTCCCAGTAGTTCTTTTTGAAAACCTAAGGAAACTAAGGCCCAGAGATGTTGCTCAGTTTACCCAAGACCGCATGTTAATAAGCAGCAAAACCTGGATTCAAGTTTAGGGTCATGCTCCTATCACCACTCTGACTGACTTGAGTGAGCACAGAATTGCAGGCTATTGGGGAAGACGCACTGATGGGGACATCTAACTGACAGCAGGAAATGACTGTTGAGTCCAGTATGGGAGAAAGGCAGGCCGAGGGTAAAGTTTGGGGGAATGCTGCAACTTAAGAGAGTGGACGTGGGGAGTCAATAAAGATGAAACATGCCAGAAAAGCCAGGCAAGAGAAACTACAACTTGAGTACAGAAATAAAGGGAAGAGGGCAGAAATCAATAATATCTAGATTTAAACAGGAAGATTAACAAAACCAAAAGCTGACCAGTAAAATGGTCACAAACCAAAATGAGATAAGACTGCAAATAAGCTAAAGGAATGAAAATTCAAAACCCGCTCTTCTTCCAGGGCCTATGCTAAAATCAAGTCAGTGAGAATAGTAGTTAGGAGCATGGATCTTTTAAAAGAGTATAAGCTAGATGTTTAATAGATGTGATAACTCAGTTGAAATGGGTAAAATTCTACAAACAACTAAAATTCCAAAGTGTCAGAAAAGAAACAAATCCTTGAATATGTTAATGACCATTAAGGAAATTGAAATAGTATTTAAAGAGCACCCCCACATGCTCTGTGGGGATAACCAAACTTACCTTACAGGATCCTAGATATCAACTGAAGTGACAACCACTGATAAACTGCAAGGCACCAGACATAAATTATTGAAATAGTTTGAAAATTGGACAAATCTATAAGTATTTATTGTACAGTACTTCTACCTTGTGCTAGGTTTTGCAGTTTGATATTCAGTATTGAAATTTAGTATTAACTCATCTAGACGAAATAGCAATTAAACTAGAAGATAGCCGGGAGATCATTTTTGACACCTATCATTCTGGACAATGAAAATCTAGTTATGCATAGTAATGTATTAAAGGGAGGCCTTTAATTATTCTTGTTCAGTTGGGAGTATAGTTGTGGTATTTCTTTCAGACCTGAAAGTTGTTATCAAAGCCAGGTACCTTTATCCCATTTATCATCTTAGTTGCCAACAATACAAAAATTAACTTTTTAAGTATTGTTACCGTGAAGTAGGATATTATTTGTCATTGTAATTAAAAAGAATACTTCCTCAGCCCCCAAATATATTCTTGCTTTCTAAGCCTTTTAAGGTAAAGTACTTATTTTTAATAGTTACTGAGAAGCATCTTTATAGTACTCTGGACAAACCATGGCCATTTTCAAAATTCTATTAGAAGTTTTACATGTGAACCAGGTTGAGTGTGTTGTCTCTGGTTTTCAAAAACAATATTTAAAGCAAATCAGCATTCTGAGTAGCTTGGAACCTTTTAAAAGTATTAGAACATGCTTTAGCAACATATATACATTTTTTTTTTCTAGTGGCCTAGGTATTTAATAATTAGGGAGATTTTCTGGGCCCTATTCTTTGCTCTGTGTAACCGTGATCTCATTCTGTAAAATAATTTGCAACCGACCTGTCTCCCAGGGGTGATCCACCATGGTCTGTCTAGGAATGTAAAGAACTCAGGTTCTTCCCAATGGGTCTGCAATAATTATTTTAAAACTCTCTTGTTCCCTACAGTTTCCAACACTGCTTAATGGCCACATGCCAGTGCCAATCCCCAGTCTGGATAGAGCTGCTTCTCCAGTACTGCTTTCTTCGAACTCTCAGAAATCCTGATGACATCTGGCCACAATTAAAGACTTATTAACTGATGAGACAAATTTGTCCCCCTGGGCTAGTTTACCTGTGTCATGAGAAGGACATTGTGAAACCCTCTGTTAATTTGGTTTGCACTTTTCATAACATGGATGGTCTAGATTTATGTTAGCATTTTTAAAACTTTTTTTTTTATATTCAAGTATATATGAAGATCTGTTTGGCATTAAGTGAATTTTAATGTTTTTGTTTTATATCTTCTTAGCTCTTAAGTGTTGAACACTGTTGACAGTGAAGAACTTTTCTTAATGGTTTTCAGTATAACTAATAAGGATGTGAAGCTTTTTTTCTCTTTAATTCCGCATACGCTGAACTATGCTTATAGACACTATAACCAGCTGTGCCTTCCTTTGCATTTAGTTTTATGTAAATGATTTATATATTTTTTAGTATTAAGAGAAAATGTTTGAAAGACAAAAATTAGTATCAAACAGCTCTCTAGTAGAATTTCATTATTTTCCACAAGTAGGCAACATGAAAGCATATTTTTCCTTTTCGCTTTCAATTGTATAAGAATTGCCTTAGAACCTCTTTTGAACTGAAATTCAGTAAATGTCCAAGTTAATGTTTTTATAAAATAAACTAAGCCATATTTAGAAAATAAACATTCATAAAAGAAAATGTTCTAAAGTGCATTTTTTAAAAAATGAACTTTGAAAGGCTAGCCACCTAGCTGTTTACAATCTTTTAGACTCCTCCCAAGCATAAACCGGAGATGGAAATCTACATCAAGTTCACTCTACCCATGCCCTTGAAATATCTATGTAAGCATGTTCTTATTTCAAAAAATCAGCTGTGGTTCTCCCAGTTTCCCTAGAGAATCACACCCCTGATATATTTCCTGTACCATTATGAGTTAGGGTAAACCCCTACAACCATAATTAACATTTAAAATACCTATGCTTTGGAAGAGGCTCACAAACAATTTTAGAACACCAAGTATCTTCATGTGTATAGGCATAGCCTTGCCTGTGAAACTGAGAGGTAGGATACATTGCTTTATGTATTACTAAATTTATGGGGAGAATGAAGGAAACTGGATACAAGAAATATAAAATTCTTCAGGAAGCTCATCATTATGGAACTGAATTAGTAACAATTTGGAGCACTCAGCAGTTAACTCTCTTGTGTAGCACAGTTTAGAGTAGTGATAACAAACATCAGGCACCACTCTAAGGCACTGTTCTGTACACGAGGTAGGAAAATTCTAATGTGGAGAGAACTGGAAAGTGTCCGGCACTTTCGATTCAAGATCAGATTATCATCCTGAACTGTAAGTAACCAATTTGAAATATGGCTAAATGACTCCAAAGTAGGTGTTAAGTGGCAAGGATTATGAAAAAGCATAAAAAATAAAGCTTGTAAAAACACAAACATTTCTGCAATTTTCTAAAAATCTTGAGATTTTTCAATTGGAATTAAGCATCTCTGTACATCTCCAATATACAACTCTGGATATAAATTCCAAAATCCACAGACACTACTGTCACTCCCTCATAGGCTGAGGAAAATTCTGTGCTAAAATAAAAGAGCTGGTCTGGGGTACTGAGATGTACCCAACATGAAATGCTACAGGTAGAGGGGGCCTTTGAGAATGCTTCTCACCACTGTTTCCACATAAGGCAATTACACAACAACTGGGAGCTGCCTGAGGCCACGCAGCTCATTAAAGATAGAACAGTGACTGGTGCTCAGTCCAGTTATGCTTTTCCACTCCTGGCTGTAACTAACTACTGGCCCCAAGCTGTATGTTAGAACATTAAAAAAAAAATTCATCGGATAAGTGAAGAACATACCCCAAAGGGAAGATTCTTACAAAGTTAATCAATGTACAAAAACTTCAACCAAAAATATTTTTAAGTGTATATGCTGATTGGAAATATTCAAATGACTATAAACCCAATTCCTATATTTCCTTCCTTGAAATACTATGGACTCTAGCTGTTTATTAGAAACGGAAAAACACCATAATTTTTATGGATCAGAAAACTATGACACAAATAGAGAATTGGAGGTATTGAAATGTAACTCTTATAGCTCTGCCTCATTCTGTGTGTGTGTGTGTGTGTGTGTGTGTGTGTGTGTGTTTTAACAGTTATTTTAGTCAGAGAATAGATTTCAAAGAACATATTAAATAACTTTTTCCTTTTTATTGTCTGCTTGATCAGTGTTAAACTACTACTATAGCTAAGGTTTTATAGAACTATAACCTAAATGTTGGTCTCTTTGTACACACCTTTTCTATGAGTGCATATCTTCATTCACTTTCATATATGTATCAATTTTACTATTATTTTTGTTTAATAAATACTTTGTGATAAAAGGTGCAAGGAGGCAAGTGGGTTGGTTTACTTCCATTTACTTGGAACGATCCAAATTTTGCTTTTCTATATGGGTAAGAGCTGAAAAATAAGTCTTGGCCTCTAGCCTCAAATATGATACATCAAAACATGCTATTGTATATATAATCTGCTTCAAAGAGATATTTAATGAAACAAACAATTACTGAGGTTGAATTGGTGAGGGTTGGGGAGGAGAATGGGTTTGAAAAGTGGTCCCCTCATCTTTTAAATCTTAAGGTTTACCAATCATTCTACATTGAAAGACAGGGTAGGTGATGAGGAAGGGAAAAAAACAAATGATCATTTCTTTTAGCTGCAACTAATATCATACTCAATGGTAACTGAAAGTGTTTTCCCCTAACATAAAGAACAAGGATACTCTCTGTTGCCAATTCTACTTCAACACAGTACCGAAAGTCCTAACCAAAGTTAATTAGGCAAGAAAAATAAATCCAAATTATACAGGATCTCTATTCGTAGAAGACATTGTCTTACATGTAGAAAACCTTAAAGAACCCACAAAAAAAAAGTTAATAACGTCAGCAAAATTATAGGACACAAAATCAACAAAACAAAAATCATTTGTATTTCTACACACTAGCAAATGAAAAATTCAGAAAATAATTCTGTCTACAATAACATCAAAAAGAATAGAATACTTAGGAATAAAATTCATCAAGGAGGCACAAGACTTATATACTGAAAAACTACAAAACATTGCTAAAAGAAATTAAAGACATCCTGCATTTATGGACTGAAAGATTTAATATTAAGATCACAGAACTCCCAAATTAATCTAGAGTCAATCAATGCAATTCCTATCACAATCCCAATGGCGTATTTCCTCAGAAATAGAAAAATCCCATCCTAAAATTTATATGGAATTTCAAGGGACCCTGAATAGCCAAAACAACCTTGAAAAAAAAAAGAACAAAGTTGGGGGACTCACTTCTTGATTTCAAAATTTACAAAGCTACAATCAATCAAAACACTGGTACTGGCCAAAAGAGATACAGACCAGTAAAACAGAATAAACTCTCACATTTATGGCCAACTGACTTAACAAGGGTGCCAAGACCATTTAATGGGAAAAGGATAGTCTTTGTAACAAACAGTGCAGGGAAAACTAGACATTCACATGCAAAAGAATGAAGTTAGATCCAAACTTCACACTACATACAAAAATTAACTCAAAGCCCTAAATGTAAGCATTAAAACTATAAGAATATTAAAACAGAGGAAAATATTCATGATCTTAAATTTGGCAGTAGTGTCTTACATATATCACCAAGAGCAGAAAAAGAAAAAAAAAAAAAAGATACACTGAACTTCTTTAAAATGAGAAGTCCTGGGATTCCTGGGTAGCTCTGTCAGTTTAGCATCTGACTCTTGATTTCAGCTCAGGTCATGATTTCATGCTTTGTGGGTTCAAGCCCTGCACAGAGCTCTGCACTGACGAGAAGCCTGCTTGGGACTCTCTCTGCCCCTCCCCCACATGCTTGTGCGAGTACATTCTCTTTCAAAAATGAACTCTAAAAAAAATAAAAAGTCTTGTGTATCAAAAGGATGCTTTCAAGAAAGTAAAAAACCCACAGCACAGAAGAAAATAACTGCTAATCGTATCTCTAATGAGTCTAATGTCTAGAATATATAAAGAACTACACAGCTTTATGACCCAACTCACCACCATCAACAACACAATTTCAAAATGGGTAATAGACTTGAATAGAGTTTTCTCCAAAGCAAATATACAAATGGCCAATAAGGACATGAAGAGATGCGCAACATCCTTACTCGTTCAGGAAATGCAAATCAAAAAAGCACAATAAGATACCAAGTCATACGTACTATAATGAATATAATAATTTGTTTAAAAAAGAAACAGAAGTGTTGGTAAAAATGAGCAATTAGAACTCATATATTACTATTAGGAATGTAAAATGGTACAGTCATCATGGAAAATTGTTTGATGGTTCCTCAAAAAGGTAAATATAGATTATGCATGACCCAACAATTCCACACCTAGGTATTTAAGCTCAAAGAAATGAAAACAAGGACCCAAACATATGCTGGTACATCCATACTCAGGACAGCATTATTCAGAAAAGCCAAAAAAATGGGGAAAAGTCAGTGTGAAATCAACAGATGAATGTTTAAACAAAATGCTGCATATTCACAGAATATTATTCAGATATGAAGAGAAATAACATTGTGATACATGGTACAACATGGATAAAATTTGAAAACATCATCTTAAGTGAATGAAATACGACACAAAAGGGTGAATGTGGTATAACTCAATGTATATGAAATATCTACAAAGGCAAATTCAGACACAAAAAGTACAGGCATACCATGGGTGGAAAGGCATGTAACTCTTGATCTCAGGGTTGTGTGAGCCCCATGTTGAGTGCAGAGATTACTTAAGTAAATAAAAAAGAAAAGTACAGGCATACCTTGGAGATACTGCAAGTTCAGTTCCAGTCTGTTGTAATAAAGCAAATACCATAATAAAGTGCATCAAGTGAATTTTTTGGTTTCCCAGTACATATAAAAATTATGTATAGGGGCACCTGGGTGGCTCAGTTAAGCCTCTGACTCTTGATTTTGGCTCAGGTC